CATTACTGCCCAGAGATCCCTTGGAGAATGGGCACGCCATGTCCCGGGTGCAAACGCGCGAGGAGCTGACTTCGCAGGAGCTTACCCTCTCTACGCAAATCTCAGCGAAGGGCATCGGCATTGGCTACATCGCCGGCCTCTTCTTGCAATGCGTGGCCATCTTCATCCTCATCCGCATGAAGAATACCACATGGTCCCAGCGCGTCGTTCTGTTCGTCATTGGAGCCTGGTGGGCGGTGTTTACCATCCCAGCGGCCATGTGGCTGCGTCCCCGGCCAGGGCCCCCGTTGCAGTCGTCGTCAAGCCAAAAGGGCGTGCGTGCCTGGATCTCTTACACGCTCTACGCCTGGAAGTCCCTCTTCCGCACAATCCAGTTAGCAAGGCGACTCATCGACATTGTGCTCTTCCTCGGCGGATGGTTCCTTCTGTCGGACGCCATCGCAACGACTTCGTCAACGGCCATCCTCTTCGCCAAGACCCAGCTTCACATGGAGCCGTGGGCGCTGGGCATGATCAACGTGATCTCCACGACGGCGGGCATTGCCGGCGCCTTCTCTTGGTCCTTCATCTCGCGGCGATTCCGCCTGCAGGCGCACCAGACCATCCTCGCGTGCATTGCACTGTTCGAGATCATCCCCCTCTACGGTCTCATGGGCTACCTCCCCTTCGTCAAGAGCTGGGGCGTCTTCGGCCTCCAGCAGCCGTGGGAAATGTATCCCCTAGCCGCCGTCTACGGGTTCGTGCTCGGCGGCCTGAGCGGCTACTGCCGCTCGCTCTACGGGGAGCTGATCCCGCCCGGATCCGAGGCCGCTTTCTACGCGCTGTATGCCATCACGGACAAGGGATCGAGCGTTTTTGGCCCTGCCATTGTCGGGGCGATCATCGATCGCTTTGGGGAGATTCGGCCGGCGTTCTGGTTCCTCGCTGGGCTGGTGGGGCTCCCCGCGCCGCTGATGTGGTGCATCAACGTAGAGCGAGGCAGGGGCGAGGGAGAGAGGCTCGCTGAGATCATTGAGGGGTTCAAGCTCGCGCGGGGCGAGCGCTCGAGGGACAGCCACGAAGAGAGCAGGGCGATCCTGGATGCCTATGACGAAGATACTGATCCATGATGGAGCTTGTAGTGTACCTGGTAGTTTTCGTTCTGTATGTGTGGTCATGCATAGCAACGGCGTTTGTTGTGTTGGTTGGTGTATTATCTGGTGTGTTGGTTTGACGGATTGGATGGACGTTATTACATCTTGTTGAATGCGGGCTTAGTATGTAATTTGTTCAAGTGAAAGGGAGCCAGAGCATGGAATGCAAACAGTTACTCTGTACGTATGTATCTCCGTAATGAAGTCTTAATCTATCCTCCGGCAAACCACGGCTTCAGTGGTCAAGATGCTTTTGTCAGCTTCACGGCCGTCAAATGAGTGCCGAAGCGCCTCGACCAATTGCCCAGCCACAGCATTTCCCCTCATCCCAGATTACCCACTCCGTAGCTCTACATTATTATCTGATAAATCAACACGTTCTAACCGCATCGGGCAGCAACACTACCAATGAGAGCCACAGTCGGGGCGTCGTCAGATCATGAAACCGCTGGCCTCGGGTGCAGCCGGACGGACCCGTCAGTTCGTCAGGGCGAACAAGCACAGAGCTTCAGACAATCGGCCCATATCTCAGAGAGAATAGTTGGAACAAGCCTAAGTCGCATGTACTGTTCGTAACAACTTTACGTTGCAAGCATCGTGCATGCGGATGCAGTTAAAGCTCGTGGTGTTATCGGCCGACACCGTGGGATTAACAACCCATATTTAATCACGTGGCTGGGCCCCATACAGGTTGCTTTTCTGGGCTCGGAGGCGGGCGCGGATTCCAGAAATTTTGCTGTCATCTTTTTGTTGCGACAACACTGTGCAGTATCAGCTATCAGCTGCCGTCGTCCATTGACGCACGAGCATCGCGCATTAGACTCCGGGGAAGTCGTCTGAAGGTCGCGATCGCCTTTGCGCCTCGGAGCGACCGTCAGGTACACCCGGCGACGTGCTCCTGACCCCCCCTCCCTCCGTCGGCACTTTCCCCAGCCACCGCATCTCGCTCCTACGCTCCCCTAACTCCTCCGCGCCGCGGTTGGGGCCACCCTAACTCCTCGCGAGCTGACGCATCTCGTAACCCTCGCGCATAATTCAACCAGCTTCATCCGCAGCATCCCCCATTGAACACTGGTTAATCTGTATTCGACACACTTTTACGATCCAGGACATAGCCGCATTCGCGTCCTAGCTGCTGACGCGTCAAGGAGCACGCCGTCGCAACCTTCCAGCAGACATGGCATCCGCGCGCAAGAGGCCCAGGGCCGAACCCGAGGACAACCGGGCTGAGTGCCCGTTCTCCATCAAGATCGTCGATCCCAAGGAAAAGGAGAAGGATCAAAAGAAAAAGAAGCGTCGGCGAACCGAGACAGGCGAGGAAGAGGATGCAGCGCAGAAAGCGCACCTGCAGTTGTCGCCGTTTGCGCCCTGCGGCAAGTTCAAAACACACGAGACAATGGATCTCTGGTACCAGGTCGAGCCGTCCAAGAAATGGACAGACATGACAAGATACAACAGTTTCGTCCGTAAGTTACATTGCTTTCATGCAATACACCCGAGTCGGAGAACAAAATGGCTAACATGTTCGTGCTTCCCTGTCGCATAGTTAATGGAATCAAGTATTTCAGCGAAGGTTTTATCTACGTTGCCAATGACTCGACCATCGAGCGGCAGAAAGCTGTCAACAACAACGAGCCGGTCCAGCCTAAGAAGAAGTCGGATGACGATTGGGTTGCCCGCATCCTGGAGATCCGGGCAAGTGACGAGCACCACGTGTATGCGCGGGTCTACTGGATGTACTGGCCCGACGAGCTCCCGCAAGGGACGCATGACGGCAAGAAGACAGTCCAGGGTCGTCAACCATACCACGGCATGAACGAATTAATCGCCTCCAACCACAGTAAGCACCCCTGAGGGTGGCCTGGTACCGTAGTATCGCTGACTTTTGGCAGTGGACATTATCAATGTCGTGAGCGTGACATCGCAGGCGCACGTGAAGCAATGGTACGAAGAGAATGACGACGAAATACAAAACGCGCTGTACTGGAGGCAAGCATTTGACGTCAGGACCTACGAGCTTTCGGTAAACGGCCTTCCCCGCAGTCTTTCACTCACATTGCCATACTAATTCGCACGCTCCCAGTCTGTCGAGCTGGTTTGCAGTTGCAATACCCCCGGGAATCCCGATAAGATGTTGATCGGCTGCACGACGGAATCATGCAAAAAGTGGATGCACGAACAATGCATCATCGACGACGCGCTCAGGGCAACTTACAAGCGGTTGGGCGCCGACAAACCACACCTGCCCCCTTCACCTCCCGCGACGACCAAGAAAGAGGAGACCGGGGACGAGGGCAAGCGCCCGTTGAGCCCCACCGAAACCGGCGCCGACGGCTCCACGGAACACTCGATCGACGTTAAAGCTGAGGCCGGGCCATCAGATGCCGTTGTCGTTAGCACCAAAGACAACGTCGAAGTTGGCCAGGCGGCGGACGACGAGGATGCACCGGCCGCCCCGGAAGATTCCCTCCCTATGCGACCCGCCGACCAGGCGCGCACGACGAGCGAAACGACGACAAGAGATACCCCGGACAAGCAGGCGTTGGGCGCCAGCACCAGCAAGTCCACTCCAGGCCGGAAACCCGGCCGGCCACGGAAGAAGGGCCCGGAAGCTAATGGCGAGAGCGCGCGGCCATGGGAAGGCTTGTTCGAGGCGTCGCTGAAGACAGCAGATATGGGTCCACCACTGATAGAGTTCAAGGACCTACGCGAAGGAGTGGTCGGGGGGCAGAAGACATGGACGGAGCCGGTCAAATGTCTGCTCTGTGGGAACACCGTCAATTAGTCGTCGATGGGGATCCGGAAGGGGGACATCGACCCCGACGAAGTGGTTGACGATGACGCCGACATTGAAGACAACGATGTGATCATCGCAGCGGGTGACGACTCGGAGGAGGGCAGCACGGACTTGGGTGAGGTCGCGTTTGAAGTGATTGAGGCCGCCGAAGTGGTCGGGGATGTAGAACTGATTGGGGACACCGGAGCAGCTGAGGGCGCAGAAGCAACTGACGACGCCAATGTAACAGAGGAGGCAGAAATGACTGAGGCCGCAGACACGACTGTCAGGGCAGAGAGTGACGGCAAAAGAGTGAGATGGGCAGATGCGGAGGAAACGGAGTCGGCACAATCGAGCGCCCAGCCGGCCATCTCTTCGCCGACTGAACATACTCTTCGGGCACAGGGACTCGTTTCCGGAGTCACGGAAAGGACAGGCCGGGGTTGGAAACATTTTCGGGCAAGAACTTTTGACACGTGCAAATCTATGTAACTGCAAGTCATCGCTGCTTGCTGGGGGCTTTCCAAATATGGGATGCATGCTGAGGAGGGAGTGTTGTAATGGGGTTGGCTGGAATAAGGGGCTTGGTGGTGGACCTTGGTCATCAGGCAGAGGTATTCACATCAATGGAGTGGTCTGGAGGCTGTCAGGACTCGAATGATGGCGGAGAGTCACCTTGAAGAGTTGGAAACCCGGTTACCCCTGAGCTGTGGCTTTCCGTGGTGTGTGGGGGCTGAGCCTTGTCGACAATAAAAAACGGTATTAGTAACGCTTATAGTTATCGGGCCTGTCTATTCTGTACCTCATCTTGTCTGGGTAGCGCCTATTCAGAAGGAGTCGTTTGTCTATTGACCATGGTTTTGATGTTCTGTTTCCTGGGCATCAGCAGATGAGCGGAGGTGGAAGCTCGCCCGCTCAATGCTCACTGACTGACCAGCCGGAGCTGTCAGGATAGCCAAAAGATGAGATTCAGTTACGGCCCGGCGTTGAGATCTATCCAGGCTCATCGAGGTAGTCTCGAGCTCAATGCATAAGAGATTTGGACCAGACGAGATGACAAAGGGAGTGCTGAAGCACGCAGAGCAAAAGAATGACCGCGGCAGGGCTCGAACCTGCGATCCTCTGCGAAACTGAGCACCGAATGCCTGTAAAGCAGATGCCTTAACCACTGGGCCACGCAGCCTTGGAAAACATGACCCGCATCTTCGCTACAGGAGCCCATCAGCTGAAGCTGAGTGGGGTCCATCTGATTGGCCTGTCGATACTGATAAGGACCCCGGATTCAGAACAAAAGCTCAATCGGGTTCAATGCAAAAAGTTCAACCAAGAAAACAGAGACACACAATGCGATGCTTACGAGCCACTGGCAGTCTATTACGCAGCAATGCAGCCGCTAGTAAAGCGCTAAGGTCCGTCCAGCAACCAATGGCTCACCATTCCACTCAAAATGCAAACTCACGCGACAGTTGCAGGACCACTCCGTCCTTGGTTCATAAACCAACACCAGTGAGGTGCCAACCGACACCTGCTTTCTACACCGTCAGCCACAGCCAAATGCCATGGAACCCCTCGATAAGCAGGCCGTTTTCGAGCACATCCAGATGCTTGAAAAAGAAAGCCAGGGGCAGCAACAACGGTAACAACAACAACCAACCCTCCACCACAGCCGACGATGCCACCGACGCGGAGCGCCCCAATGCCAACGCCGAACCGGAACTAGATCCCTACGATTTCAGTGACCTCATCCAAGCCTTCGAGCGCGCCGAGGAGCGCTACACCGAGGAGCTCAAGAAGCTGCGGAGCGGCGGGCGGTTCAACGCCGACGCGATCGGCGCGATCCCCGTGCAGCCGGACAAGAAGAACCCGTCGCAGACTTTCCCGCTGCGCGAGCTGGCGACAGTCGCGCCGCTGGGCGGGCGGCGGTGGAGCATCCTGGCGTTCGAGGAAGGGTCGGTCAAGCCGATCATGAGCGCGGTGCAGCGGTCCGACGAGTTCAACCAGCAGCCGCAGCCGTCCAAGGACAATCCGCTGGAGCTGACCATGACGGTGGAGCCCGAGCGCGCGGACGCGCTGGCCAAGAGGGCAAAGGACATCTGCCAGGCCTGGCGCACGCGGGTGCGGGACGAGGCGCACCGCCGGACCGAGGCGCACAAGAAGTGGCGCGACGAGAGGGTCATTCTGAGCGATGACTTCCATAAGTTGAAGAAGGAGCTGCAGAAGCTGCAGGATGAGAGGATGAAGGCGATTCTGGCCAAGGAGAAGGAGGTGGTGCAGCAAATCATGGTGAGGGCGAGCTGAGACAGACAGCCCTTCAGGTAATAGACGGGTTGTGCTTAAGCAGGGCAGGGCAGGGCAAAACAGGGCAAAAAAAGACCTGGACGGGAATAGAAATCTTTGTGTGCGCTCTATGAAGAAAGGATAGATACCTCTGTACAAGTAGACTAACTAAAACACCACATCGCGGCCGGGTACGGTATTGTTACATATAGAGACATCGAGCTCATGGCCCTGAGGCGGACAGGGACTCGTCCTGAAGGTCATATATCTCCTCTTCCCACTATCATTTCTTGACCTGAGCCTGAGCACCGGGCGCGGAACCGCCATGCCCCGGCAACAGCGACAGCACCTTGTTCATGAACTTCTGCGAATCCGACGCCTTGTAGGTGAAGGTCCGGGCATGGTAGGCGGCCATGGTGCCCTTGACATCACTAATCTCGGCAAACTTTGGCGCCTCATACTTGCCCAGGAGTGTGGTGTCGATAATAGCTTTCTTGGTCGCAGCATCGGGCCCGACAACGTGAAGCCTGGGGTTGGCACTCTCGATCCACGCCTTCTCCTCCTTGCTGTGGACAAAGAAGGGCATGTGCGCTTCGTACTTCCTCTGGATGGCCGTGAGATCCGCCGTGACGCCCGAGTCGGGATTGAACGCCATGCCGCCCGTCATCAGCCGCATCGTGCGGATCGCCGTCTCCACCTGGCCCAGCGCCGCGTCCGTCGCCACGGCCGCGCCGTACCCGCTCAGCGAGTCCCGCGTCAGCTTCGGCGTAAACGGCACCACCTCGCCCTTCTCAAGCCGGTCAATCACCGCCTGCTCCTCGGGCGTCAAAACCACCTTGTCACTCCACTGACCGCCCTTGCCCTCAAGATCCTGCTGCGATCGCCGGGCCACCCCAAGACCACCGCGGCCCCGCGACCCGCGTCTTCCACGGCCGCCGCCCGGCCTATCTCCCCTCCCGGAACCACCCCCAAACCTCCCACCTGCCCTCCCAAATCCACTCCGCGCACCCCCCAGCCCCGGCCGACCAAACGCCACACCGCCCGGCCCGCCCGCTTCTCCCGGCGCAGCGGCGGCGCGGGCATTCAGCCCACCCGGACGCGCAACAGGCGACAACCGATTCCGCAGTCCCGTCCCGCGGCCGCGGAGGCTGCGCAGGTTGAGGACCTTGGGGGCAGAGGAGGCGCTCGCGGCCGTAGGCGAGACGCGCAGCGCGCGGGCGTCGATGGGGCCGCTGCTCTGGATGCGGCGGGCCGGGCCCGATTCCGAGTCTTGTGCTTTGGATCCTGATCTTGATCCTTCTGATGGGGCTGGGCTGTTGTTGTTATTGTCGGATAGCTGGACGATTTTCTTGACTGCGTCGCTATGGCTGTCGTCACCGCCACCGCCGCCGCCTGCGCGGGAGGAAAAGAAGGAGATCGGCGTGGGCGTGCTTCCGTTGGGGAGGCAGCGGGCTGATCGTGATCGCGTTGTTGTTGTTGTTGCCGGTCCGGCGCGCCCGAGGGCGGTCCGGATGGCGTGCCGGTTCATGGTTGCTGTGTGTAAAATAGTCTGTTGTGGTTGTGGCCTCCGATGGAGCGAGGCTCGACGGTGTGTCGATGTCGGTAGGTCACGCTCGGTTTGAGGAAGGGAAATGCGTGCGGTTCGGAATGAAAATGTTGGCGGGGTTATGATTGGCCAATTGTGGCTTGAGTGGGTCTAAAGCTGCGAATCCTGGTATGTTCTCGCACTGTGCCGCTACTGCCTGATCATTGAACGAGTAAACACATATGAGGAGTCGAGACAGATCTAGTCCACTGTCTCCATGCTGCAGTGTCGGGCTGAACCTGTTATCAATTGGAAGAATCAAGAAGATAATGACCAATGTTGTATCATGGCGAGTTAACAATCGCGACCATCAATTCTCTTTGTCCGCCGGGGATAAAAACGAAAAGGGGTCGGGGAAGTATCAACACCAAATATCATACAAAAACATACAACACCAGGGATTCGCTGGTCCTCACAGGCCCAACTACTGATCTGCCTCTTGCACCGCACGGAATAATTTGGCCCGACAGGCCCACCAAGTTCAAGTCAGTGCATGCAAGTAAGTCAAAGTCAAGGCAAGGTGGCGGCTAGACTTGACTTATTTGACTTATTGAGAGCGCTGCTTGCTACTACTCACACCAGAGTCTTTCCACCAGCAGCCTTAACTTTTTTTCGTTTTGAAAGGCTTCAAGGCTAAGATTACGCTCGCTTCCCTTGAAGTCGGAGGCATATTAGGTTGTAGAAAAGATCGATGACGAGCTTAACGAGAACGCGTCGCAATGGACTGCGCGCGACTCACCGGTAATGGGCGTTAACTACCTTAGAGTTATCACTGGACACCGTTACAGAGGAACTCATCTCATGCTTCACTCGGATTTAGCTTCAGAGCGGGTGAATGCAGGAGCTACCAAAAACGGCTGCTGGCTTCGCCTCCGCTCCCATCAAGCCAGAGCACACTCGATGACAGCGCTGCCCCCCGGAATCTGAGACACCTTGGTAATCTTAAGCGCCGCCCTTCCGGTAATATCCTCAAAGTTTGCCAGCGTCCTCTCCTTGCCAGAGATGGTCAGCATGGCCATGTCCATGGCCGCCTGGAGCGCCGATGGCCGGTCGCCCAGCAGCGTCTCGACAATCAGAAGCCTGCTATCGGCGACCATGGCCGACGAAATGTGCTGCAGGATCTTCACACATTCCTCGTCAGAGTAATCGTGGAGGCAGCGGCGGATGTAGTACACCAGGGCCCCTAAAACCGTCAGCTCACTCCACTCCCAGAACGAAATGCTAATGTATGTATGCACTAGTTGTAGACTGACCCTTGACAGGCTGCTCCTTGAAAAAGTCCACGGCGACCATCTGCACATCGGCGAGCTCGGCATCGTCCCGGCCGGCCGTCTCGACCACCTCGGGCAGATCCTCCAGCACACACCGGTGCCGGGGAAGTCCGGGCGTGGCCTGGAAGATCCCCTTGAGCGCCTGCCCCTTGCCGCCACCGACGTCGACCACAAGCACCCGATCGGCAGACTTGCGCGCCTCTTCGACCGCCCAGCTGAGATCATAGGACCCCAATGCGGGCATTTGCTCTTCTACCGCGGCCATGGCGAGCATGGAAACCTTGAGGTGCTGCTCAGAACTGTTGATGATTTCCCAGACGGTCGAGCCGAGCCGGCCCTCGGAGAAAGCCAGGACGGTCTGCAGGCGGTCCTTGGGTTCTGTGGCGAGGCCGAACTGGTCGAAATACTTGGGCATGGCGACGTAGGAGGACAGTTGGTCATCGAACCTGTGGTGGTGTGTTGGTTAACAAGCTTGGTCTGTCCAACAGGGTCGTAACGGATAAGTAGTCGTCCTACACAAGTTGCGCCATGGCCCAGATGGGATTGGGAGTGGTGAGCATCTTGGAGAAGGCCGTGTGTGCGATGCGATCGGCGCCGGTCTGCTTGAGGGTGCCGTTGGCCACGAGGGGTCGTGCGATACGTGCTAAGAGCGCTATGAGCCAAAGTCTGGATGTGATGAGTGAGAGACGAAGCATGTCTTACTGATCAACGACACGTCGGCACTCAGTTTCGCAGCCAGTTCGGCGTACGAAGTATCCGCGCCATCGCCGGTGGGGATCTTCTCAAATGCCTTCCACTTAATGAACAAGCGGATGGAGGTGATGTGAGTAAACTGTGGCAGCCACAGCAGAAGCTTGTCTTGGGGTAGGCTGACTGCGCCGACAAGGTCGGTACCGGCCTGGATCAGGCCCATCCGCTGCAGCGTGTCGGTCTCAAGAGATAGACTGCCAGACCGGAGGGCCTGGGCGGTCTCGGCCAACCTCTGGGCCAGTGCATCGAGAGTGTCTGCGAGTGGAGATGCCATGGTGAAGCAAGACGCTTGGCAAGGGA